AAGCTCCAGTAGGCAACGGTGAAGCTGAAAACACTACCTCGTCTTCAACCATAACTAAAACTCTGACGTCAGGTCGTCGCCTTATATAGCTTTCCTCGACCTTCTAGAACCTTCTCGAACAATCTGGACTTTTCTTTGACAAGGAATGGCATTTCGAGAATATTCTATCTTCTTCATTTACTCATACCTTTACTTATGACGACCGCAGCACGCTACAGGGTGCTGCGTAACAATATATTTTCGTGAAAGACCATTTTAGGGTCGGAAAATTTTTCTATTAAGGAATATCGAATTTTCCATGTGTTATTCCCAAGAGCCACTCGTAATTTTTTTTTATTTTATTCAACATCGAGGCTTGTATGCGAAAATGGATCACCTAAATCAGTCATTATCTGACGGTCTATTAGAAAGTGGATGTATAATACTAACATTGTTAAATAGTCATAGAAAAAATTATTTTTTTATTTATTTTAAAAATTCACATCTAGTTAGTAAAACAATAGCTTTTTATTAATAAACGATCATTAACACATAAAATTTTATATATTTGTTAATAAATTATCATTAAAAGGGCCGTGCACAAAATTTTGTATGTATTTCGGGCGTAAACAGCGTTTATGGACCTTACGTGTTACGTTTTACGCCCTTGATGCATAAATAACTTATTTTGTATGTGGTATATATGTACCCGCCGCCGATCTAGAAGCAACAAGTCAATACATTTTTTGTTTTCTGTCCATGACAGGCGGAAGACGAACCTCCAACCTGATCATTTTTGAAAGGCGTTTTTCCACTCTTAAAAGTGTAACAACAAAAAAGTTTAAATTGTAGTCCTACGAAGAAGTCGACCTCTATTGGAAGACAATGAGGTAACCAATCTACAGGGTGATGTCATCTTGCCTCCAACATAACTGACTTGAACAGAAAAATTTATCAAACACTCTTTTTAAATCGAGCACATTGTGTAAAGGTATGTCTTTACTGAAACAACATACTCGAACATAATGTAACAATAACTGATTTTAACACAAAAAGTTTTGAATGGAATGGAATATGTTGTGTTGTGTTGTGTATGTTGGTATTGCTACAACAAAAGTTGTGATATGTTGATTTAATAATAATAATAATTTAACAATAACTGATTTTAACACAAAAAGTTTGGAATGGAATGGGATATATATTGTGTTGTTATTGCTACAACAAAAGTTGTGATATGTTGATTTAATAATAATAATATTTATTCAAGAATAATACAAGTTACAAAGTAATATAAATAACAATTTCAAATAAATAAATATTAGATAATACTCAGTAAGTGCCAATAAGGCACTTGTTTTGAAAACAAATATAAATATAAACAAATATAAATATAAACAAATATATAGGAGACAAACACAATCAAAATACCTACATTTAATTAAAAAGATATCGAAACGTTTATCATACAAAATGCAAATAAATATCAGTTATTTGAAAGAATATTATTACGTCCATTTTTTCATTTTTGATAATTTTTTTTGAATTATTTTTAAATATGGACAAGGTATTACATTTTATGTCGACTGGGAGGGTATTATATAATTTTGGACCTAGATACAAATACGATCGTTGTCCTAGTGTTTTCTGAGTACGAGGCACAGTATGGAGATGTTTTTTCCTTGTGCTATATGGATGATCTGGTAAGTTATATAGTTGTTTATAATAAAAAATTTGTTTCTGATCCCTAATAGTTGCCTCAACAAATAATGAGTTTGAAGGATACCTGTAGGGCCTTTTAAGCATTATTTTTAAGAATCCTTTTTGCAGAACTTCAAATGGTTGTAAATGTGTTTGTAAAGTACAGCCCCACACAATTATGGTATACCTCAAATGACTTTCTACTAAGCTATGATACAAAATTGGCTGTATATCTCTTATATTTTTAAATTTATATATTATCATTCTTAATTTTTGGCATATAAAAGTTATGAGATATGTATCAGTGTAAACCCCTAGATATTTTTCAGGGAGAATGGTGTTTGCCCAGAAGTAGTAAAAGTTAATTTGTTAAATGGAGGTCTTGTTATATTATTACTGTCAAACCAGCTTTTCAGATTTGGAAGGTCATGTTCAACTTTTTGCTTTAGTTCTAACCATGAGTTAGCTTTATAAAATATTGAAGTGCTGTCTGCAAATCCCAAAATTTCCCCTAAACTCTCAATAGAAAATAATCTGTTGATATAAAGATTAAATAGAATAGGACCGAATACCGTACCTTGTGGGATACCGTAAGTTATAGATCTTAGATCACTGTAGACCCAATCTACTCTTGTAACTTATTGTCGGTTTGTAAGATAACTTTCAAATAATTTGAGTGATGTGTCCCTTATACCTGCTTCTTCTAAGGTATCCAAAAGTAAAAGGTGACTGACAGTATCAAATGCTTTCGAGAGGTCTAGATATACACAGAGACATGGACTGCTTTTATCTAGAGCAGTTAGTCTTTTGGTAGATAGTGCTATAATAGCATGTTCCGTAGAGACATGTTTTTTAAAACCATATTGTTTATCAGATATTAGGGTCTATTCTGTAACAATTCCTTTATATTTAACGGCCTTTAAAAATATTTTCTTCTTTACTTCTGTCATTATTTAAACGGATCTTTAAAATACATTAGAGGACTATCTTAAAGAAATCTGTTTAAATAATGACAGAAGTAAATTAACGAATACGAAAATATATTTAAGGCCACCAATATTTTTAAAGGCCGTTAATTATAAAGGAATTGTTACAGAATAGACTCCATTGTACCATATTTTGATGTAAAATTGTCTGTTTAAATATATTAGGCCATACATCAGTATCAAAAGTCAAGTTTATCAAATGATTTAGTGGTGTTACAATAAATTTAGATATATCTTTTAATATTTCGGCCTTAATATTGTCAATACCAGGATTTTTATTAGATTTCAACTCGTTAATAACAGTTTAAATTTCTCGTTTGGAAGTTAAAATAGAACGAAAGAATTGCAGAGAATATTACGGAGTGCTCAATAGGTTGGATTTGGCTTAATATTTTCAGCCAGTTATTTTCCAACATGTTATAGGTTTTATTAAAAATATTTGCAATTTCTTTTAATGTATTTATTGTTTCCCTTTTCAAGTTTTTTATTGAATTTATATATTTTTTGTTTCTCTATTGGTGTTAATTTCATTTATTACTTTTTAAAGTTGTTGGGGGTTACAGGAGTTTTTTTTTTTTTTAATTTGGTGTCATTGGCATCAACTACTAAGGGCATTAGCCTCATGTTCTGTGTAGGCGTTGTTACTGTTTCCCAGCGCCACTTTAGGAACAGCACTGTTAATTAGAACCCAACAGTGAATGATCAAGTGGGTAATCCTACCAAGGCATCAGAATTAATTTAAATAATTAAATTAAATATCCCGGCCAACGGTTCGAGCCTGGGACCCTTGAATCCGCCGGCAGAGACTCTACCACTGAGGCAGCCACTCCCAATGTTACAGGAGTTGTTTTCAATATTTTAATTAATTTGGCTTTTATAATAAATATTTTTCACAGTTTTTATAGAATTAGTCTTTGTTTTTATGTCTGATATTGTTGTTTAAATCCTTATTTAGCGGCATAAATCAAGGATAATATGAAAAAAATTGAAACATTTGTAATGTAAATATTGCTTTTAATATAATAATAATATATGCATCAAACAATGCGGGTGGAGACTTGTTGTGTTTCAATTATAGGTATTAGCAAATTGTTCGTTTTTGAAAGTTTTGAAAAGCGAAAAATTGGTTTGTAGTAGTGCGAAGAACCGGTTTAAATTTAATTGCCAATTATAGAAAGCACAAGTATTTTGGATCCTAAATATATGTTAAATTTAAATACAGGCAGTCAAATAATGACGCATACAATGCAATTTGTTTAGATGCATCTGAACAAGTAAAAACAAATTCCAAACCTGATAGGATATGGAAATCTGGACGATGGCTATATATAGGGGTTGCCAATATTATGCTGATGCTGACCCGTAGAAAAATTATTCTGTTGTGGAAGAAAGAAAAGAGGATTTCCTTAAATTTGTGCTCATAAGCTAATTTTAATGTTTGAGGATGCTGTTGCAACCGTCATAATTGCCTAAAAATTCGGCTACACTAGTTATACTAACACTTTAAAATTTTAATTTCAGGACAATCAGAATTATCCAGTTCAATTATTGAGCAGTATATTTGTGTGTAAATGTGACAAGACTAATAAAACTTTTTTCTACGCCCACATGGATATTAGCCATTGCGTTTAATTGAACGAATATACAAGGCGGGCCAACAAAAACGAAACGGTTTAAGTTTAGGGTTTTTGATGTCATTAAAAAAATCGCTTAAACACGTCAATTTATTTGTTGAGGGGGAAACCCTTTAGACTTATTTCAAAACCCCTATCTTTAACCCTTTGAACAGGGTGCTGTACACCCCTAAAATCTTAAATGGAAAGTTGAGGACACCTTGCTTGACGTTTTAAATTTTAAATTTATTAGTTTCATTTACAAAGACGTTCATAATGCGGGACTTCGCTCTGCTCGTCCTACACTCGTTACATAAAATAAGGTTGCATAAAAACCTATTATTTTATCGTGGTCACTAGCTATAGGTAGGTACGTGCATTTTGTGGTTTTACCTTAAGAAGTTATCCACTGACACACACAAGATACAAAGATTCAAAACCAATCGAAAACAAACATCGATTATGCAATAAATCGTACGACGATGCACTTAACCCCATTCTTTTCGTATTCGTTTCTCACAGATACACTCCTCAGAAGCAAATAATAACAATAAACCAAACCAAACAGTCTGGTTCCATTCGAAAGAGGCAAACGAAATCGTGAAGGACGCGAAGAGTATTACAACATCATACATGTCGGACACACTGGCGTAAGATCATTGAACAGTTCTTGTGTATAACACTTTCAGTAACTCACGGCGATAGTCATTTCACTCGCGGTCCGCTTTAAAGTCCGACAAATGTTAATATTTTTTTTTGTAGCGGTGCAGTGTGCGGTTGCGGTTTCGGCCGCAAGCGAAAGCGGCCAAAATGAAATTTCGGTCGATTTGTTTCCGAGATTGCCTATGGGAATTGTGGATACGGATAATGTCTTGTGTCGGGAGCATTCCAGGATTTATTATGAAAACTTGAAAAATTTCAGTTTGTGGGCTTATGAAAGTAAGTAATAACAATAATAAAAAATATTAATAAGATGCAAAGAATGAAAAAAAAAAACAAAATATGTAACAAAATATAACTTAATGCAATTTAGTAGTTGAATCGACTAGTTTCGCTCATACTGGTCATCATCAGGTTTACAATAAAATTACACATATTCAAAGAAGAATAACAATATTGATATTGAATATATTACGTATATAAAGAGGTATAAAATTACCATAAAAAAATCTCGTGGTGTGCAGTAAAACACTATCGTAAAAGCAGAGATGTGTGTCCACTTAACGTAGATACGGCTTAACCGTTGAAGTTAAATTAGTAGGGGTCGACCGATATCGGTATATCGGCATATCGGCTTTCTTGGCCAATATCGATATCGGCCAAATAAAAATATTATTTATATATTTCAATAGCTAAGCATTTTTTAAATAAAAACAATTTAAATTATTTTATTTAAAATTTGAGAAAGAAATAACATTTAAAAACTAAATGGAAAAAATTAAATTAAGAACATATTTTTTTAATTAAAGTTGTTTTGGTACGTTAAAATGCAACAAAATTAAGCTTTCCGTTATTTTTGAGGTTAGGCCATTTCTTGTGCTTTCCTATACAGGGTTATTCATTTAGGGTAGGGACTGACCGTATCTCAGAATATCTTAAAGTAGAATTATTAAGGCCTCAGTATAGCATTCTTGTAGACGAAAAAATTTTCTTACCACCATTTTTTTACACTTTTTTTTTCACGTTTCCGATCATTTTGAGTCCGAAAATGCAAAAAAAATGTCGGCTGGTCGTCTCTGCGTATGTATGCCGGCACGATAACTCTGGAACAAAAGTTCTGATTGACTTGCGGTTTTGATTTTCTTGAATAATTGCTTCTAACTTAGAACCCTATTGATTTTCAGAATTTTAATATCAGTGTTCTTAAAATCCGCTCGTGTATTTCTTATGCGACTTATTTTACGCATTCCAATCATTTATAACGTCTAACATTCCTAACATTCTATACATTGCAAACATTTCAATATTAGGCACTTCAACGACCTATCAACCAACAGCTGTTGATTGTAAAAGTGAGATTTCTAAGGGTCTAAAGGTTGCGACCTTCATAGTTGCAACCATAGCCTTTTTAGAGGCTATTTTTATTTAAAATAGTAGTCGCCAAGCCTGCCAAATATAAAAAATAAGCAGTTTCTTAAAAATGATTTTTTTATGGTGTTGCTAACTAATGCTTACTAGTATTTCGCCCCTAGCCACAGTGACACCATCAAATTTACTGGCTCTCTGTCGAACCTCATAGAATAATTAACCGCCCATTTTATTTGAAAGTTAAAATTCAGTGAACAGTTTAAAATTCAATAAATGTTTTTATTACTGTTTTTTGTACTTGATGTATTAGCTTTTTATATTTGATTTGTAAGCTTATATGTTTGATTTGTTAGCTTTCTATGTTTGATTTCTTTGGGTACTTTTTACCATTTTTTAAATAAATGTGTTTAGTTTTAACCGTATTGGTAATATTTGTTTGATGTTCAAGTAATTTTTACCTTATCTTTTAAAGACAAAAGGATTAAACATTGATTAAAACGGGTAGTAGAGGCTAAAGATGTTATTTAAAAATATTAAAAATCAAGAGTGTGAATACAAACACTAAAATGTAACTTTCAGTAGGTATTGTAAGTCAAAATTTCAAACTTAACTGTTCATCCCTAAAGGGGGCGATAGAGGGCTGAAAATGTGGATTTAGAAATTTTAAAAAAATACAAAAAGTATGCACAACAATACGCAAGTTTTGATAGGTATTGTAAATTGAATTTTTATATATTTTTTTTAAATATGCCTATTTCGGCTTAGCCTACTGTATATATTGCCTAAAGAGCTGTATATATTGCCTAAAGAGCTGTATATATTGTCTAAGAGGGCCATCTATATTGTTTAAGAGGAATGTCTACCTATATATTGTCTAACAGAGCTGTCTAAATTGCCTAAGAGGGCTATCTATATTACATAAGAGATTTGACTTACATTTTTTTATCTCTGGTTTTTGGATCTTTTTGTATGCTTACGTTTCCTTCTTCCTTTATTATCATTAATATTTGTTGTTGTACTGGCACTGTAACTGAAGTTTGAGGTCGAGCTGAACGGCGAACATATACTAATATATTGCAACCGCTGTGTAGTTTCTGCGATCCTTTTATCGCACTTCTGATGTAAACTTGCACAATAAAACACTACTTTAGTTTATATTAACACTTTATTGTTAGTAGAGATGAACACACTTCGATATTTTAATACAGAATGAATATTATAATAGACACATGGGGTCGAATCATAATACTACGTATATGATTCACACACTGACTGAATAATTCCATATCTAAAAAAAGTATTTATCACGTCTTACATTACACAGTACATCCCTTAATATAATTAATAGTAATTTATATGAAATATAATATTCAGAACATTGATGCACAACGTTAATATTAGAAATAATTTAACTTTAACCATGCCTCGTCATTCTACTGCAATTTTTAATCGCAGCTTTTCATTCAATACCGTTGTTCTGTACAACAACCTAAACACATGTTTAAAAAATTCAAAATCTCTAAATGTTTTTAAAAATACATTAAAACGACAGCTCTTGGTCTCCCAAAGTGTTTAAGTGCAATTGTTTAATTTTTTTTTATCTCGTTTGTTCTTTTTGAATAAACACACTTAGGTAATTGTTTTTCTTTTCAAATGTTTTACTAGAATTTGCTTATTGTAAAAAATGTATTTATTATTTAAACTATGTATAGAATTTATAGGGTTAGATGTAAGAATAGCCTTAGGCTAAATCTCGCCCAGGCAAATGTACATTTCTACATATTTTTTGTATTTTTGGTATGTACAAATAAAGGCCATTTATTATTATTATTATTATAAATATATTGCATAGACTACAAGTTGGCGACAAGAAACTGCGTAAATACCTGACCAACAACATTCAGTGCATTTTGCATTTTAAAATAATACTCAGTATTTATTTCGGTTAAAATTTATTATGTTTTTAACAATTTAAAATTAAATTCTAAAGATTTTTTTCTACTACCGTGCGTAAAGTACGTACTTTACGCACTCCACGAAGTGTGTAAAGTTGTACTTTTTTTTAAGTAAAACTCTTTACGCACTAGTTAAAAAAAGTAAAATTTGACAAAATTTGTACATAACAACAAAATATAACGTTTTATTTTATATTAACATTTTTTTTGCTATCTCTTTCTAAGACAAATAAATAAATTATTTTTGCTTATATCTATTTAGTGTCCAACAAATTATCAACAGTTTATTTTAATTATAATTTTCTCTAAATGTCATCGATTTAATTAAAAGTAAACATACAGTGGATGTCGATTTTGGTAAAAGTAAGTTGGCCGTGGCTGTGTGGATTAGAAGAACTGTCAATCTCTAAACTTTTAATTAGTACCTACCTTATAACAGAACACGACAAAAGTATACTTAAGTTCAAGATTAGATTCTAAAGCCAATTTAGCATTTTTTAAACTCAATCAAGTTTGAGAAGGTAAAAAGTTTTACTTTTTAATGTTTGTTTACTTAAATTCAAATTTTATTTGCAGTTCATTATATCTGTCATAATCGTTATGGATTCAAATTTATCTAGCGATAGCGAATTTGATAATACTCCACCAGATATCTTATGCAGTGCACAAAAGGCCACTGAAAATGTTTTGCCAGAAAAATCTGCATATATTTATCAGCAAAAATACAATGCATTTATAGAATGGTGTAGGAAGAATAAGGTGACAAAATATTCGGAAAACGTTATATTAGCATATTTCTCTGATGAATTGAAGAATTGCAAAGCTTCTACCCTATGGTCGATTTATTCTATGCTTAAAAGCACCTTAAAATATAAAAACAACGTTGATATTTCGAAATTCAACAAGTTAATAGCGTTTCTCAAACAAAAAAAATAAAGGTTATAAACCAAAAAAATCCAAAATTTTTGAACGAGAAGATCTAATTAATTTTCTGTTGAAAGCTCCAGATTCCAAGTTTTTAATGATCAAAGTAAGTAAATGCCTCAGTAAATTCTTAAATGCTCAGTATAAAATTAAAATATTTTGTAAAGTTTTGCAACGAGATGTGTGTTCGTATGGTGTGTTGCCTAACAAAATCAGTTGCTGTCCTAACAGGCCACCGGGGTTGTTAGGCAGCACATTATACCTAAAATTTTTATATTTTTTACAATAGCATTTATTTGGAGTTTTACATGCGCAACGTCAAGATATTTCCTAATGTTTAATAAATTATTTCTAACATTACAATATGTTATTTTTTAGGTAGCTTTTATAATTGGAATTGCGGGAGCTTGTCGCCGGGAAGAATTATGTAAAATGACAATTAACGATGTGGAAGATAAACAAACAGTGTATATTGTCAAAGTATCAGAAACCAAAAATGGAATAGAACGCATTTTTACGATTTTAAATCCAAATAATTCTGCAGTTGATTATTTATATTTCATAAAAAAATATACCTCATTAAGACCAACAAATATAAATTGTAACAGATTTTTTTTTAAATTCGCAAATGGAAAATATTCTAAACAGCCTGTAGGGATAAATACTTTTGGTAAAATGCCAAGTGTTATAGCAACGTATCTAAACTTGCCCAATCCAACGGCTTTTACAGGACACTGCTTTAGGAGGTCTTCAGCCACTATGCTGGCAAATTCTGGAGGAGACCTTCTAACGGTCAAAAAACATGGAGGATGGAAATAATCTGCTGTTGCAGAAGGCTACGTAGACAGCACAATAACACAAAGAAACAAAATTTCTAATAAAATTTTGATGGATGACAGTATGCCATCCACTTCCAAACAAAGCTACAATTTTACCGTTGACAACTCTAATGAAGAATTAGTGGAACCCACTCGACAGTGAAACTAGAGTTACACAAAATATTTCAACCTCTTTACTTGAAAAGGCCAAATC